GGTAGAAACAATTGGAATTTTTGAGTTTAAAGGTTCAAGGACAACAAAAACGGTACACCATTCTTTGAGTCTCTTAAAAAGGAAAAAAGATCTCTTCATTTTGCATGACTTCTTCATCCGCTTCCACTTGAAGTCGTGAGAAAGCTTTCTTTAATCCCATTACCAGTCCTCCTTGTTCAACTCCTATCGACCTAGGATAGATATGTCCGACTGAACGGAAGGTTTTAATGAAATAAGGGAACATCATTTTCCCATCAATCAAATCTTATCCTTTGAGGCGTGCCATTCTCTTTTCTTTTTTTCTCCAGCATTACATTTTTCTTATCAGCAGCTAAGGCTTATGGCCTAACCTCCATCTTTCTTTGTTTTCAATCGGGCATGGTGCTCTTGCGATCCCTTGTAGAGCTTTTTCTAAGCCTTACCCTGCTCATCAACCCTTACTAGAGGTCTGCTTAATTATCATATTCGTAGCTTTTGACAATTGAAGGATCGACATCCTTAACCTTTCTCTTACATAAATAGCGTTTGTTACTTCAAAAGCTCTGAAAGAACATTCAATTGCTTCTTCTGTTGTCTCAACGTAGGGAGTTGTTAAGGTCTTTGTCACCCAATAAGTCATCTTCACCATCCACACAGACTTGTTTTCCTTTTATGATAAATTTTACCTTCTGATGTAGTGATGAAGTTATAGCTCCGGTCGTGTGAATCCAAGGTCTTTCAAGTAGACAACTATATATTGGAGTTATGTCCATTACTTGAAATATGATATTAAAGGTATAAGGACCAATCTGTAATGGGATCTCTATATCGTGAATTACCTCTCTCCGTGCCCCATCAAATGTTCTTACAATCATATGACTATTTCGCATGTGAGAGGGATCCACTGGAGAAGTTTTGATAATGTTGTCAGAGGCATAACATTAATAGACGATCCATTATCAATCAACACTTTAGCCATAGTGTGAGACTTGCACTTGACAGTAACATGTAAAGCCTTAACACTATCACATCATTTTGAAGGTATTTCATCATCATTGAAGGTGATAAAATTTAGGGCTATAATATTCCCAACCATGTGGTCTACCTTTTCAACAAAAATGCTATGCTCGACATAAGCTTGCTTAAGTACTTTCAGCAAAGCATTCCTATGCAGCTCAAAATTCAGTAGTAGCGACAGTAAGGAAATACGAGCTGATAGTTTATTTAGTTGGTCTATCACACTGTACTCATTGTGTTTGGTGATCTTAAAAAACTCACAAGTTTTTTTTTTTTGATATCGATTTGTTAACTTGAACTTTCGAGCTTACCACCGGTTGAGAATCTTGACTTTTTTTTACATCTTCTTCTCTTATCTTACCTTTCCCTTTCCTAGCCTTTTTTGACATTTCAAAAGTGTAAATTCGATCACTTTGGGTCATTTCTCCTATTTTTGCTATGTTGGTGGTATTCTTCACGCTCGGACTATTCGAGGTCATATTAGGCCCTCGCATCACTACATCATAATCATATCGTCGTGGGATTACCTTTTTGGTCTAATAAGGGAATGGACTAGGGACATAAATGGTCATTGATGTCCTGGAAGAGAAGATAGTTTTCTCAGTTAGGGGCTCTGGTTTCTCATCATAGTAAATAGTGAGGGGTTTGGGAATAAAAGACTTGCTAGAACGCTCGTCACCCACTGTATTCACACTATTTCCATCATATTCATCATAAAATTTAATGATGGCCTCATCCATCAAGCTCTACAATATTTACTTAAAGACCTCACTACTTCGGATCGAATGTCTAATTGTTCTCTCATAGTATTTACAAAAATGGTCAGGGTCTTCATAACACCATTGTCATCCAAAAATAATGGTTGAATCATGCCCGTCTCATATAAACAATCATACACCCGTTCAAAAGAGGTCTTCACTTCATCCGTACATCTTTTGATCTTCACATATTTTTCCTTACCCACCATATTAATTTTCGTTTCGGTGTGATCCGACAAAGGGTTTCCATTGACATTTGGCTTGAATTTAGTATCAAAAGATAAAAGCCCATCATTTATCAAACCTTGCACCTTATGTTTAAATGTCGTGTAATTTTTAGTAGAATATCTTGTAACTCCATAATGATAATTACATTTGGCATTAGGGTCATACCAACTTGGGTAAGATGGTCTTAACGGTTTCGCATAAGTGGGAGCGACAAGGTGGCCTTTCATTAACTGGGGGTACAAATCGGTGTAAGACATGGGAATTGGGTCAAAATGAGGTTTTTCCTGATTGTTATTATTCTGTGAGTTTCTTTGATTGTTGTTTAGGTAGGTTAGTCGAGTAAATGGTCAAGCTGGAGGTGTAGAGGTGTAATTGGATGGTTGAGGGCTAAAACTTGGTCTGGGTAGCGATTGTTGGGGTGCTCCGTAATGGTATGGTTGCTGAGAGATTTGGTTTGTGGCAGAGTAGTAAGGGGGGTATGGATTATACGAGATAAAAAGATGGTGTGAGGGATTTCTGTGAGTGACGACATGTGTCTCCTGCTCTTTCTTCCTTAAAGCTGCTGTCTTCTTTTCAGACCCTTAATTTTATCACTTTTGATAGCGTTTTCTATCATCTCCCTTGAAATTACTATGTCAAAAAAGTTTTTCGTGGCATTTTCCACCAATCTGTCATAATACAGGGCCTTCAGTGTATTGACGAATAACACAGTTATCTCTTTTTCAATCAGTGACGATTGGACCTGGGTCGCTACATCTCTCCACTGATGTGCATATTCTTTAAAAGTTTTCATCGACTTTTTCTCCATATTTTGTAATGACAACCTATCAGGGGCTATATCCAAGACGTGCTTATATTGAGTAAAAAAAACTTTACCCAAGTCTTTTCATGAACAGATTTTGCTTTGATCTAACTGTATGTACCATTTAGCTACTGAACCTATCAAACTATCTTAAAAATAGTGTATCAATAGTTTGTCATTATGGGTATGACCCACCATCTTTCTACAAAACATGGTGATATGAGCAGAAGGACACTTTATACCATCGTATTTTTCAAAATCTAGGGTCTTGAATTTTGGTAAGATAACCAAATCAGACACTAGGATGAGCTCATTGACATCAATAACCCCATAAATGTCATTACCTTCAACCGCTTTGAGCCTCTTTTCGAGTTGGTCATACTTGTCTCGAATTTTTGAATTTATAAGAGGTCCTAACATTTTGTGAGACTTCTCTTGTTCAACAAGGTCATCAAGATTTGGAATCATGGTGGGATCGACTGGGATGGGTCCCTAATTGGTATTCAAGTGGGTCTGTTGTTGACTTGCAGAATGATTGACATAGGGGTATGGCTGTGTACTTGGTGGTTGTATGTGTATACCCCTAAGAACTTGAACCTGAACCTGAACCTGAGACGGAATGAATCCCATAAGGTATAATGGCTCTTCCATATTGACCTCATCTCCTGTCCTTGATGCACCAGTGACTCATTTTCCTTTCATTGATCCAATCAACAATTGTCTTAATTCAACCATTTATGCTTCAATTCTTTATTGTATTTTCATCACTCTTTCTTGTATCTTTTCGTGTGCCCTTTCGACCCTTTCAAATCTAGCTGTATTCTCTTCTTTCATGGCCTTAGTTTGAGAACGAGTATTATATCTATATGAAATTGATGGATTTTGGTTCCTTGGCTTTGCTATCCTTGAACCTTAGTTTATTAACCATGAATTAGATCGTATGATATAATGTCGTTGATATTATTGTTAGTATGAAAATGCATGCATGAAATGAATGAAATACAAATCAGGGTACTGTCTTAGATCAATCAAAACAAAAAGAAACTTTCATTAACCATGGGAGTCTTTATACATCATTTGATCATTCTTACATTAAAGCTATAAAAACATTTAACTTGAGCATATTGCTCCCTAGCTTCATACAAAAAGTGCAATAATTTTTTACTGTAGCTTTGGGTTGGTACAATCTCTCATTCTAGTGCTTCCACCTTTTCAACCATGTTGCTTGCTTTTCGAACAGCCTTATAGATTTGAGCAGTCAAATGTTCGATGTATTGTTACCTCTCTAAACTTTTTGCTCTCCATATCTCTCGAGCATCTACCTTCATATTGTAAGTACGAGCCTAATAATCTTTTCTATCTTACCACTCAATCAAAATCTTATCTATGTGACTCTAATTGCTTGTCAATTGAAGTTCCAAGCTCATTAATTCATGCTCTAAGGCTTTTTTCTCACTTTGCAAATTAGAGTTCTTGCTTTGTTCCCTCTTTAGTTCAGCTTTTAGCTTTTCACTTTCTCTTTGGTGCCTTGCTACCTTTTCAGAAGCTCCTGAAAGTTTTTCTTTCCATTCATGTTGTTCTTTGGTAAGTGTGGAGATTATTTCTTTGTTCTCTAGAGCTCTATTCTTTCAATATTCCACCATATCTTGTAGTTCCTCCACATCCTTCTTGGGTCCCTTCAAAGGTCTACTATCCAACCTCAATTTCTTTTTTTTTTTATTCAGATTTTACAGATCCTCTTTCAATACTTTTCATTCTTTAGTCAACTTCTGTACTGCATCATCTCTTATCATTAAATCATATCTTAGTTGGTTAACCTGATCCTTCATAGCCATCTTTTCTTTCTCTAACCTTTTCTTTTCAATCTCAAACTCTCGTTAAGCAATCTCAAGAGTCGATAATATCGGTATTAAAATAGGAGCTGGTAATTTCTCTGAAACATCAACTGGTAGAGGCCTAATTTCGTTAACCCTTTTCATCCTTCATGCAAGGTAACCTTCAGCAACATTATTTACGAATCTAGCTGGGCTCATTCGGTTGACCTATTTCCATGCTTGGATGATTTCACGAACCCTTTTCACATAATCGGGTGTTCCATAATCAAATTCGAATGAACCGAGCCTATGAGTTATAGGGATGAACTACCGTGAATCATATTGTCTTTAAACCATAAGGGGTGCGTAACTCACTGTCCCTCATATTCCTAACAAAGGTACCTATGACTCATCTCCGCAACTATACAAGATAGCCATCGAAAGCATCCATAGTGCCCTCCATGTTACATCCTCGCTCGTGAGCTTCAGAAAGAATGCCAACCACTGACCTTTTGTCCAATCTTTTCTCCATTTTTTAGCAATAAACTCCTTGATAGGATTGAAATGTAGGAGAATGGCCGAAATGATATCTTTTCTTTCCCCTAAAAATGGCTTCTGAGCCAAACAAAAAGTAATTGAGCACACCTCATAAATCGTCCTTCACTTTTTCTTCGATAAAAATTAAGTGATCTAATAGTCTCTACCAAAATCGTTGGTGAAGGGTTTATACCTTTATCTAATTGCTCAAAGAAATCAACCACTGATGCTTCTATATGTCCTAAAATCTTAGGAAATATCATCAATCCATAAATGGCCAAAGCAAACACATCCAACCCTTGATCAGTATCAATATACTTTCTTATGTACTCGAGCAAAAAAGCTGATGAAATGGTCTCAACCCCATTCTTTTCTTTCTTGTGCTTGTCTATCTCTTCAACCTCCACTTGCATGATCTTGGCTAATTTCTTTCTATATCCGGTAGTCTTATGCTCTTTCCAATAGGTCTTATCTTGATTGATAGACTCTATTCGGAGTAAAGAAGAATATTCTTCAATCGTGAGGGCTAAGTCTTCTTGGTTGAATACAAAGCATCGATAAGATGGATCCCAGAACTATATTACGACTCTCATCAACTGTTCATCAACTTTGATTGACATAAACAGTGCCACATCCCTGTATTTCTTGGAAAAAGATTATTTTCTCTCTGTTTTCCACTGTTTCCAAATAGCTTCCAATTCTGATATATTATTCTGACTGAGATCCATATGCATTGACTGTGGTAGCATTGATATGTGACCATCTACTAAGCAATCTCTTTTTTTTTTGGAGTACTTTCTGAATGGCTCTTGACCTCTAAGTAGCTCTTACACACAGACGACATCCCTTTAGGTTTTTTGAAAGTTTTTCTTGCTGAAGATTGATTCAAAACAATACCCTCTAGAAATATGGTACCTATATGATGCATGCAATAAAATTGAAGACAATAAAACAAATCATTAATGTAAATAAAACAAATAAATAAAAATGAGTAAATGAATGAACAAGTATAACATACATCATAACAGAATATACATTGTGTCCTATTTTAGGTAATTTTCTCGTAAAAGGGACAGTATGGCTATCCTAAAGTTGGATCTTACGGCTCACTATATGCCGGGTTAAGATTTACATGTCTAAAGGCTCCTAGACTATTCCTTACATCATCGTCCATTATAGACTAGTAAGGCTCCACGATCCTCATCCATTACAGGCTACTAATAGAACGGGTTCAATCTGAGTGAAAGTGTTTCACTAGCAAATGCGGAGGTTATCACCTCACGAGAGCGTAGCTACTTCACTTCCTCCTAAAAGGAATAGGGCCCGGGTCTAGAGCTCATGCATGAATATGTAAAGTGTGTGCAAAATAATGTATTAATTAAAATAACATGAATAAATCATAACCACAAAATCATACAACTTGTTTTATTCATTAACATATATATTTTTAAAAATTAAAATAAAGGAGATTAAATGAAATGTCAAATAAAACCAATTAAATCCAACAATTCTTAATAGTGCATAATTAAAAGTTTTGGCTTGACTCTCGAATTTTATCTTCAACGGAGTCGCCAAGCTGTCGTAACGACTTTGAGACTGTCAGACGTAAAACGAGTTTTAAAATTTAGGAAAATAAAAAAAGAGGAGAGTCGCCACCAATCTTTGTTAGGGTGTGATTGGTCACCCAAAAGGTTATCCTTTTGATAAAACTATAAAAACAGGTTTAAAGTTTATCAAAAAGATAAATTTTGGTTTACGAAAAATCAGGTTAAGTCCGGAAGTCGGTTACGCATGAGGAAGGATTAGCACCCCCATAATGCCTATAAATTGGTACCATTTAATTACGCATTATTTTCGGTGTTGGATAAAAATGGTTTTAATTTGAAATTTAACACTAATTCCCTTCACTTGAAAAAAATAAAATTTTGCTAAAATATTTATTTAGAACTATTGAGAAAATCTTTAAGTTAAAGAATTATCTTAAAATTCTCCATCGTCTAGGCAGAATTTAAAATAACTCTTTTCGCCTAAAATTTAATACAATAATCCTTAAAATGAAATAATAATCTTTATAGAAAATAATTGTTAGTGACTCTCCAACATCTAGGCAGAGTACCAAGAATTATTTCTTTCAGAATGTTATTTTTGTTTTATTTTATAATATCATAAAAAGATTTTTTTTTTAAAGTATTATTCCTTTTTTTGTTTTTTAATATAAAATATTTTATCAAACAACAACAAATTAAAGAGAGAATAATGCAATCAATTATCGATGATAACATGCCAACGTATGTATGCTAATGAAGACCATTTACAATGAAATGCAATTTAAGAGTTTGATTCTTAAGTATAACGAGACCACCCCGACTCTCCAACATCTAGACAGAGCTTAGGTGCGATTATTTATATTTAAGATCTTAATTTTATTATACTTTTTATTTATTAATCTTATTATTAATGTGAATTAAGAACTCGTGTGAAAAGACTTAATGAAGTAAAATTTCCTAAATACCCCATCATCTAGGCGGGATTCGGGAACAAATTACTTCAAATAGAATTTTCACACATGTCCTTAGGATTGTTAGGAGATTTTGATTTTAAGAGGTTTTGATTTTAAGAGGTTTTGAATTTTAGGGGATTTTGAATTTTTAGGGGTTTTAAAAACTTAGGATTTTGAAAATTAAAAATTAGTGTTTAAGATTTAAGTAAAACACGAACATCTTTAAAAATCCCCATCATCTAGACGGACTTTCGGAGCAAGTTCAATTTTTTTATAATTTTTCAAAACTAATTAAAAATTTCTTATGTGTTTTTTTTTTTTATGAAAATTTATTCATAATAATTTTCCAACATCTAGGCGAAATTATCTTTTAGAAAAATATTTTTTATTTCTTTCAACATTTAGGTAGGGAAAATAATAAAAATTATTAATTTTTTTGAGTATTTTTAATATATATTTTTAATTATTACTTTCATTTTTATTATTATTAAAACAATGAAACATTTATTCTAACGAATTTAAAAATTTATCATGCAAGAATAAATAAAACAATCTCAAAATAACAAAAATAATAATATATAAAAAAAATTTAGAAACTTTTTTTTAAAAAATTTTTTTTACTTGAACCGGACCGATCAACGGTTCGGTCAACGGTTCGATCAACACTGGTCTGGACTGATCTGACTGGTTTGATCAGCAGTTCAGGTGATCCGACGGTTCGGATCGGTTTACTGGTGGTTCATCTAAACCGGTTCAAGGTTGGCTGAAACGGGTTGGCAAGTCGGTTTGAACGGATCTTGGGTCGGATCCGGGTCCACACGTGCATCCTCTTTGGTTGAAATGGCGTCGTTTTGGATCTTTTTCGAAACGACGTCATTTTGGATCTTCCCTAAACGACGTCGTTTTGAGTTTTGCTTTCCTATATATAGTTAAAGATTTTTTTTGATCCATTATTTTCTGTTTCAAAAAAAAAAAAAAGAGAGAGGGAGAGAGAGCTCTGGCAGAGAGGTCCGACCGTCTGTCGTCCGGTCGCCAAAGCACCGCATCGGTCACCGCTGGTCACCACCGACAGTGGTTGTTGGTGGCTAAAAAATTACTAAAATTCACTGCGATGCTCCTCTCGACCTCTTGAGATAAGATCCGAGGTTCTTTTCGGGAGAACAAGCCCCGATCGACGTGGATCAGGGTTTGAACTTTTTTGAGTTTGCTATTTTCCTTTTTTTTTGTAAAACCAAGGCTGATCTGATTCGTATTTTGTTCTTGGAGGAAGCTTGGCGCTGAGGTTCCTCCTTGCGAGGAGGACTGTGTTTGTTTTTTTCGTGTTTTGTGTGGATCTATTTTTACGTTTCTGTTTGGGTATGGGTTTGGTGCGGTGTTTGGGTTTGTCAAAACTATTTTGAGGGGGTGTAGTTCATCTGAAAGTTTTCAAAAGAGGTTTCGAGGGCTTTCGGAAAAGAGGGTTCGAGGGAGGCTTAGCTCTTTGGAAAATGGTGGTTTTGTTTTTTTTTTTTTTTAGCCAGCTCGTAGGGGAAAGGGCTGTGGATTTTAAATAGCTTTAGAGGAATTTGGGTTGCTGTAGGGTGGCTGGTCGGGGGCGACAGCAGTGCCAGCCACCCTACTTTTTTGTTTTTTTTTCTCTTTTTTATTTTTTTTATTTTATTTTGTTTTGTTTTATTATTATTATTATTTTTTATATAATTAATAATTATTTTTTAAAAAATTATTATTATTATTATTATTATTATTATAAAAATTATTAATATTATATTGAAATAAAAATAGTAGGTCGGACAAAATTGGTGTCTACAAAAGGCTAAACTACTTTACAAATCTCATTTTGGAAAAAGCTCTTCCTAAACAGAGGCCAAGCAACTTAAAAATCTTATCTCGAAAAAGTTGTTTCTAAACAAGGCTAAACAACTTTTAAAATTTCATTTTGAAAAAGTTCATCCTAAACAATAGCTAAAGAATTTTAATAATCTTATCTTGATGCCAACTAGATTGGACTCCAAATCTATGTGCTAGCTAGAATGGGCTTAAATCTCATCGGTGCCAACAAAACTAGGTTTAAATCTTATTAATGCTAGCTAAACTAGGCTTGAATCTCATATCTGCTAGGTAAGCTGCGCTTAAATCTCATCAATGCTAGATAAAATGGGCTTAAATCTCATTAGTGCCAACTAAAATGAGTTTAAATCTTATCAATGCCAACTAAACTAGGCTTAATTTCATTGGTGCCAACTAAACTAAGTTTAAATGTGATCGATTATCATAACATCTTTTTTATTCATTTCTTTAACAACCCTTTTTCTTTTTGCAAATCATGTTTTGACTCTTTAAACTCTTTTAACAGTTTGATCTATTGTCAAACTATTTTTCTTTTTTTTTCTTTTTGGTGATAGACTTTCTTCTCTCTTTTTACTTTATTCGTTTTTCCAAACTCTTTTCTCAAAGATTTTTTCTTTACTTTTCCAGAACTTAAAATGTTTTTCTCTCTTTTTTTTTTTTTAACACTATTTACTAAGTTGACAAATGCAATCATGACTCAAATGCCTATTCTCAATGAATGATGTGAGTACAAATATCTTGATGCAAATGTAAGAATCCATGTCATAACAAAACTTTTTCATGATGCAAATACTCATGTAAACGTAATGATATTTTATGATGTAGATGCTAATGCTCTTTCCATGTAGATGACTATACAATTATACAAATGTGAATTTTTTTTTCATGAGACAAATGTACCTAACAAAGCTGTAAGTACAAATTTTTACCAGTAAATTTCTTTTTCATGATGTAAATACCTATTACAAATGCAAATTCCAATGTTCATACATGATACAAATGCCCTAAAGATATAAATGCAAATTTATAAATTTGATCATTTTTCAATAATGCAAATGCTCTCTACAACTACAAATTTTCATTTTAAAAAATGCCAACTTTTGTGCAGATGCAAAAATTTTCTGGGTGCACATGCCTCAATGTAAATGCAAATACTAATATTTAAAATCATGGTGCTAATGTGCGTTAAAATATGTAAACGTTAAAAATACCCTTTCTTCAAAATTT